TACAAAATATAAGAAGAATTTTTAAAGTCTGTCGTCTTATCATCACAGTCTACGTTTAGTAGGAACTGTTCCTAGGCCGCAAAATAGGGTAAGATTGCCAGTTATATTTTTATAATTCCCACTACTTCCGTACCTGGTGCCGAAAAACGTCTGAAATGAGGAAGACAATATACTCAAAGGTTACCTGTTATGTTTATCTGTAGCCGGGAACAACAGTGTCACCATGGCAGTGTGCATGACATTTGAACAGAGGATAGGACCGAGCCAAAACATATCAAGTTTAGAGATATTAATTTTGCAGGGAAATTTGAACATTGCTGGGTTTAATTTAAAATCAAAATCTAGCAAAAATTTCATCTTTGTTTAAATCCTTAAAAGAAGGAAGAAGAAAAAGAAAATTTACTTTTAATAGCAAAAAACAGACACCGGCCGGCGCGGTGTTTCAGTCGGTAAACAGATTACATTACAGTTTTCTGAGAAATAGTGAATGCACTATTTGTCGTCGCTGACCCTGGATCGATTTTTCTCGGAACAGCTTCCGGTTTTCTAGGAATTCTTGTCTTCTGAGAAGGAACCAAAACGAGCATTTTCTGTGAAAACAGTTGATATATTTGATGAAAAATCCAGTGAATATTAGGGTTGGTTACATATTATGCCGGCATAATTTTAGGCAAAATGCTATAGTTCGACCATGGAGTATGTTATGGGCATTTTTTCACCACATTACGGGGGCCCGTAAGGGACATTACAATATAATTTTTCTTATCGCGCGATAAGTTTACACAAGGTTTCACGCCGGTATAGATGAGCGGCCTGTCACCCCTTGCATTTTCTCAAACAGACTAATTATCGCGCGATAATTTTTAAATGTTCTCATTAATCGCGGGATAATTTTTCAATTTCCTCATTTATCGCGCGATTAACAGACTAATTATCGCGCGATAAAATGACTGATTATCGCGCGATAATTCAAAGTTATCGCACGATAATTTCAACCTTTTATATTTTAGCTCAGACTGATTTTAGCTCTAACGAGCATGTCCTTTACGGATTTTCCTTTCTTTTTGGTTCTTTAAAAAAATTGGCGAAGTAACAGTTGGTTTTGTGTAAGATTCCATTTTTTCAGTAAAACTTCTTTTAAAGTAGACACTGAGGGCTGGTACTGTATCACGAAAGGCAATATTTTTTTTCCTCTTTGTTGTTATGTTTCAGGAGTGCAGACTCCCTCTCCGTGAACTTTATATCTGATAGAAGGTTTTTTATCATAGTTTGTGGGTAGCCTCTGTCAATCAAGCGTTTTTTGAAATTTGAAATATTTTCCTGAAAAGTAGTTTTTGAGGAGTTTGTTCGTAGGATTCTCAAGGCTTCTCCTTTGACAAATCGTTTTTTAACACTCGGCGGGTGACAAGAGGTGAAATGTGTGTACTGGAAGGTTTCCGTTGTTTTAAAATGTGTCTTTACGTCAAGGATAGATTTTTCCTTGAATCTTGTGCCTTTGTATACAACCGTGTCTAAAAACACAGTCTCAGTGTCAGATATTTCGGCCGTGAATTTGATAGTTGGGTGATGTAAGTTTGCTTGTTCGATGTACGCTTCGCGTTTCGATGTCTGGTTTACTTATTTCCCACAAGGAAAAGATATCGTCAATGTAGCGTTTCCAAACTGTAGGTTTAAAAACGGTTCTGCTTAGAATTGTGGATGAGGTGTTTGAGATTAGGTGTTTGAGATAGCCATTTTCTTGTCATGTCATCAATATGATTTTCACGGTGAAGATCCGCAATTAGGCGCAAGACCTTGCTGTGCGTTTCTTTCACCATGGGTTGGGAGAGAGGTCTGTAGATATGTTTGTCGCCGATTTGTATTTTATCCTCTCTTATTTTGTCAGTTTTGTTCATTGCTACTGCGATAAACTGACTAATTATCGCGCCATAATTTTTAAATTTTCTCATTTATCGCGCGATAACTGCTCATTTTATCGCGCGATAAATTTGAATTATCGCGCGATAACTTAAGAAAACAAAAAGATTGCAATGTCCCTTACGGGCCATCGTACCATATAGAGAATAATAGTGATGATAAAAATAAATATTTTCATAACTGTAATAAGAATTTTTTTTCGCTTTCAAGTGCTTTTAGTAAGGCCTGGTTCAGACGCCGTTCTTTTCATAAGCCGAACCTAATTCGAATTAAGGCCGACCCAAATTATTTAGACCAGCTGAACTGATTCAGACGCCCATCTTAATTGCAGCTAACCTAAGTTCAAAGAGGTCTTCAAAAGGCGAAAAATGCCCATTTCGGTCACACTGCTTACAAAATACGTTATAATAACTTATGCATTAGGTTCGGTACATGAAAAATTCGGCGTCTGAATCAAAGCGGTTCAAAAGGCGCAATTCTCGGCCAGTTTAGGCGAAAAGAACGGCAGAGCCGTTCCAAATTGGAACAGGCGTTCCTTAAATTGAATTAGACACCGAACTTTTCATGTACGACTACTTAATTCAATGTGTTAGGTTCGGCTCATGAAAAGTTGGGCGTCTGAACAGGGCCTAAGGATTCAGTATATTTAAAGGCCTCGTTGCTAATTCAAGGCATGTTTCAAGGCGTTAACGCTAGCCACTTGTCTGTCCTTCATGGCTGCCAGTTCAGCTAGGATCAAGCTCTGCTGTCCTGACTGTTGTCTTTCAAAGTTATGAAGTATTTTTTTGGCTGCAGGGATGGAAAAGGGCATCAAATAAAACCAAGACCAGTCAAGGATAATTCTACTTCTCGAGCACAATCTTAGGCATAATGCTGTTGTTTTAAAAGTGATGCTTAAAAGCATAGTGCTCAAATTTTCAAACATGGCAGGCTATCTGTATTCGTACATCGAGTGCTCAAAATGGGGATTTTACCAGCTTCCCTTCTTGAAAGTTGTTGTTAACTCATTCAGTTATAGTCAACTCCCGTTATTGTGGACACCCTCAGGACCGCGATTTATGCCCGTAATAGCGAGAGTCCGTAATAGCAGGGTGGGCGAAAAAAGGTGCTGTTAACAAACAATAATATTATAAATAACATTTACTACGTTCGTTAAGGTTTTCTAGAACCTTTTTTTGGTGTTTTTCTAAAGTCAAAGTGAGGTCCTTTCGTTGTCGGTGGTGTACATTTCCCGGCAGTATGTGACTATCTGATCTACTAGAGTGATTTTACCTGACCTCTTGGGCTATTTTCCACTATTTGTTAGCATTTGTTTCACGGTTCAACTGAGTAAAATCTCTCTAAACATTTCCGATACTTATTCAATAACATCAACCCTATCAAGATTCGGGTTTTTTTTTCGGTCAATAAAACAATGGAAAAGTCTAACATGGGATCCTGAGCGCAGTTACTATTTCTACGGAAACTCGGGTAGGAATGGTTCATCCCGGCGCGGTAGAATATTTTGGGACAAAAGGCAATACGGCACGCTTTCGCCAATACGACCGGACTTTTCCGTACCATTCGTTCATTCGGTTCGGTTTTGATTACTAGTGCCAGGCTTTAAGTTAAGAGAAGAGTATTTGTTTTGAACGGTATAACCCAATCCCATTCCTGTTTTTAAAACGGAAAAAAATACTAGACGAGAGTACCACTGTTGACGGAGAATTTTCATAGAAATTAGCGCTCAAATAGTAAGAATGTGCTCCCTGGCCTTGCCCGTGGGAATGATAAGCAAGGCATTGTTATATACCCTGTGGCCATTGAGGATATGTGATCCAGTATATATTCACCTTGGATAACAATGAAAAAATCAGTTTTCCCCCTGTTGCCTAAGCGTATTTAGAAGTAAGAGTCATGGTCACCGTGATGAAGTTAGCAATTAACAGGGTCATCAGTTGTAACATGGAGTCAAAGGGAACACTGGCCGTTATTACATAATCTGTACTTGTTTAAAGTGCTGACTGTGAACTTTGTTCTGTCCACCAGATGCTACATTCTTGCGAGCGATTGAGGTTTAATTGCTGAGAACAAGTGAGTAACAATATTTGAAATAATTTAATAATATGTCCCCGAGAGAGCTGTTTAAACCCTTGCAGTATTTTCTTGGTAGGCTTTTCAGACGCTTGGTTTTGATTTCACCCCTTTAAAGGTAACAAAAACGGTTTTACCAGTACATGCCGCAGATACTAATGAGTTCGCTTCACAGTACAATGTATTTCTCTTCAAATACAAAAGTGGCGGCGCCTTAAATCATTGTAACATGGGCAAGGTGAAAATGTGTCGTCCAAACACTTTTATCAAACTGGGTATTAAATCGAGCGCGAAACCTTTTTCATTTTAAACCTTACAATCTCATCTGAAAGAAACTATGAATAATTATTTTATTTGCAGTCGTTCTATTTTAGACTTAAATTCACACTAACGACATTGGAGTAACGAAAATCTTCGAGTTGGAATAGTGAGAAAAATGCCCTTTTAAGGGGAAGGAATGACAAAAGAACGAAAATTCTCGAGTTAAAATAAGGAGATGATGCCCTTTCCGGGAGAGTAATATAACTGGAATAGTGAAAATTTTCGACAAGGATTGATTGGGTGGTGAATCCTCCGTTTTTCTCTTCTCTCACTGATTTATTCTGTTTGTTCAATTGTGAAACTATGCCCACCTTGTTCCCTTTGAGTTTCTAATAAACTTCCGCTTTTGATGCTTCCGCCTATGCGTGAATCATCGTAAACGGACGTTTTCGCAAACAGCCCAGAACAAATACGGCGTACAACTACGGATAAATTATTAAATATCGGTATCGTGTTATCCTGGGTGCCAGAAAGTTTTTTGTCTCTCTTAGTATCGTGTGAACAGAGGTAATGAATGCGTATATATATGCGTTTGCATTAGGTCTCGCGTGGACGTTGCCTTCAACCCTCTTGCTTGAAGTTTGTGGGCACGTCTGGTGACGCAGCCTCGTAAAACGTCTGGGTGCGTCTTTAGTCAGCTATCTTCCACCAATTCCTTGTCTTTCAAGATAAAAAATTAAATATTTTGAATTGTAGTGGAAGAAGATGATGATGGATTTAATCTCATTCAGCCGTCGCTGATCCAGCAGTTGAAGACCATCCTAGATCAGTACCCTGACGATGGACAGATATTGAAGGTAACAATTGTGGAAACATTGTAGTGTCTGACAGTAGAGAGGCATTCCTTTTTAATTTCGCCTTTACCGTTTTCTGAGTATCTTCAGAAGTTGTAAAAAAGTAACAAGGTCAACATGACTGACTGGGTTAGAAAAGGGAAACGCGATGAGATCAGGGGCCCGTTTCTCGAAAGTCCCGGTAACTTTTCGAACCCGGAAAGCTGTTTTATGTTTCCCGTGATTGCATTCAAGATCAAGTTTTTTAAAAAACAAAAATTTTGAAAATGAAAAGTGAAACTGTCAGTTAACAAAACAAAATTTACTGGTTTGGGGCTACGAACTGGATACTATTCAACAGGTTTTGATTTTTAAATTTGCCTTTGAACCCGAAAATTTACCGGGCTTTTCGAGGAGTTGGCCCCTGGGAAGATGAGGTGGCAAGGGATGAGACAACGTGAGATAAGACAAGATAGGCTCAGGTTGGGAATAGAGGATTAAGATAAGAATAGCAAGATGAGATGGGAAGATTCTAGTTGAGATGCGACGAAACGCGATGCATGAGATAAAGCTAGGTCAGACGGGATGGGAAGAGACATGCAGTGATTTTCCTAAGATCAGACGAGCAGAGCAAGTCTAAACGTTATTGATTTTCATTGACAGCTATTGATAATCAATAGCTGACTGTGAAACAGTAAAAACCCTGGTAGGCATTTGCTTAAACGCTGGTTAAACGTGGTCACAAACAGTACAACCGCTTCCAGGTCTGTGGAAATTTGTACTTCCTGTTTAGTCAAGGGGTATCACCAGTGTCCTTTTAAAGTAAAGGAAGGGGAAGTGGTAGCCTGCGAGCAAGCTCTCCTATCTATCAAGCGAAGTGAGCCTCGCGAGAACGCTCGAGCGAGGGGCCGCTCGCTCGCGCGCTCTCGCGAGACCTGCTTCACTCGCCCAAATAGGCGAGCTTGCTCGCAGGCTAGGGAAGTGGTTTCCTTTTTTACGAAGAAGGTGGAACACGGTAACGCATTCAAAGTTTGGAGTGAAAGAGCCGGGCCAGCTTCGCCATCTTCAAGCGGATCTTGTCAGCCCACTTTGGCCACATCAAGTTGATATTTCTGCATAAGTACAGTAAGCCGAGAAGTAAAACAGTCTCTAGAATAATTTAAACAAATCACGCTACAGCCGGGCTACATTAATTTCGATTTCCATTCTATGTTTTTATCCCTGGTCTTATTCCGGGTTCTCTTTTTGGATTTATTTCCCGGGGTTTATAGGACTTATAGCACATTTTAGTTCTCAATAAAAATCAATAAAATCAATTTAAATCAATAAAAATCAATGAAAATCGATTCGGAAAATCACTCGAGACTGCGGCTTTGATTTTTATTGATTTTCAATATCAATCAATTAACCACTGTTGATTTGTATTGACTATTATTGATGCTATTGATTATTGATTTTGATTGAATCGTACCGTCTGGGATTAATTAATCTGTAAGAGATAAGATGAAATTAGCGAGATGCCATAACCTAAAGTTCATAGTCTGTATAGAGTATGGGTGAGTTATAGATTAGTTTAAAGGTGCTTCTGTTTAAATATGCGTGTGTTTAATTAGGAACTCATCCAAAATGCTGAGGATGCAGGAGCAACTAAAGTAAAATTCCTCCATGACCTACACAATTATGGAACGGAGAAACTACATAGCCAAGGACTTGCACAGTTTCAGGTAATCTGCCAATGTTGTCTTAATCTCTCAGAAGGGATGATCTTGTGCTACTTTATAATCTTTCTTGTTTCACTCCTTCTGTAAGAATTATCTTTATCTGGTGGTTTGCTTGATTATTCTTCTCCCCTCCCCTTTACCAGCTTTTAACAGTCCGTCCCTTGCCGAAGAATTTATTACCCCAAGTGACAAAGTCACAGATCAGTATCGTCTACAAAATGTCTTCCGGCATTATGATGCATAATTGATGAAAACATCAACCTTAAAAAACCTGACAGCCGTTCTTTTTTGCACATTTTACCTGGTATTGTGTTCTCATTCCATTTAGTGAGCAGTTCCTTGTGGCTGGATATGACTATGACTAAATTGTGCGAGAATGCTGTGAGTCAGATCTGAGCACGCCGCCCAAAAGACTGGCAACTCTTAGCCATATCTGTGATATGGGCCCACTCTCCTATTCGGCCATATGAAAGAACTCCTCATGTAAAAACGTCGGCCCGAGGCGGTGGTTTTCTAGGCATGGCGTTTCCTTGTTTTATTTGCTCGAATTTGATTTACAAGGTGTTAGAAATTTGGGCAGAGAGGTCTGAAATAGTTCCTTAACGTAACTTTCTTTTCATTTTTCGTAAGGTAATGTCTTGAGCTTCGTTTCGTTAAAAACAGTTTCGCATCCGAAAAATGTTATGCTGACCAAATGGCACCGACCATAAAACTCAACAACGCCGAGTTCACCAAAGAGGACTGGAAAGGTATCAGGATGCTCTGTGACAGTATAAAAGTCAAAGATCCGATGAAAGTTGGTCGGTTTGGCCTCGGTTTCAAATCGGTGTTTCACGTCACAGGTGGGATAACTATTATACCTCAACTGATAATGTTGTAATTAAAGCAGGCAAAAGTGGAATGAATTATTACTTTACTTCTGCCAAAGTTCATTACTGTTTATTACTCCATTGACCAAAGCACTATTACTTAGTATTAAAAATCGGTCTCAAAGAGGTTATCCTATCGCCCACAAAGGTGACAAGACTCTCTCAGTTTAACGACACTAGCTTTTGAAGCAAACCACCCGAAGGCTTGGCATTTTGGCGGCACATTAAAAAAATGAGGGGAGGCAGGAGGGGGGTGGGGGGCATTTTTTACGGCCGATTGAATAAACCTTATCTCGTTTATTTCTTATTCACTTGAAATGTAAAAAATAAGCTTTTTTCTATTCTCACTTGGTGACAAATTTACGACCGTAATCTTGAGTTTTCAATTCTTCTGAATCAATCAACGTTTAGACCAAACATCAAATCAATGGCTAAAGCTCACAACTGTCTGAATTTTTGGACAAAATACCCCGGCGTTAGAATCATTCGTTCTCTGTGTTTAAAATAATATGCTCTTTCGTATGTTTTGGTTTCCCCCACCGTCTTGTAACACCCTGACATTTTTTTTCGTAGCATCTAACCTGGACGCAATCCACGCACTAAGATGTATGGAACGTTGCAGTAGCAGCTTTGTAATTTCACGCGTGAAATAAATTCACACCCTCACGACTTAAATTTCGCGCCCAAATAAAGAAGTAATTTTTCATCCATGACATTACACCCTTAACATTTTACTTCACTTTTCTCTTCCTTTTTCATTTCTTAGATCTACCGAGTATATTTAGCGGTTCACAGATAGGTGTTATAGACCCCCACGAGGAGTTCTTTACTGAAGGAAGAAATCGACGAACAGGTCACAGCTGGAAAATAATTAACGATCGTCACGTTATGGAAAAAATACCAGACCAGTTTGCTCCTTACAAAGGAATCTTTGAATGTACAGATGATGTCTTCTCCAGAGGCTGGTACAACGGTACTCTATTTCGCTTTCCACTACGACACCGACCCTCTGAACTTTCTCAGACTCTCTACTCCGCTGAAAAGGTGCACACATTATTTGAAGGATTCATGGCTGACGCACACTTGATCCTCCTTTTCTTGCAACATCTGGAATCTATCGAGCTGTACGTCCGTGGTGAGTACGACGATAAACCAAGAAAAACGTTTCAAGTTCAAATCACGGATGAAAGCCTTCATCTGGTACGAGAAAAGAGGAAGGAGTTTCACAACAAGATCTCCACTGGCAGTCTGTTGCCCCATGCTGTCCAAGTAACCTACCCGATCACGGTTGAGACTGTACACTTTTCTCAAGGCTCAGAAACCACCAGACAGAGTCATTCGTTTCTCGTAACCAACTACTTTTGTGGCGAGGAGATATCGTGTGAATTTCAAACCCTGGCTAAAGATCAAAGCCTCAGTTACTTACCCTTAGTTGGTGTTGCCATGGCATTACCAGCAAGCCTTCGCGAACGTACTCCAAAGATTCAAGGTCACGTGTTTTGTTTCCTACCGTTACCAGTACAAAGGACAAGCCTTACAGGTTTGCCGGTTCATGTGAATGGCTTCTTTGCTTTGAGTCAGAACAGACGTTATATCAAATCTCCAAACGCGGAACAGGAAGATCAGGAGCTAACTGACAAGTCCCTCCTATGGAATAGGTGTCTCTTGGAAGAGGCTCTACCCAGGGCATATGCAGCGATGCTGCTAGAAGCAATCAACGAGAAGAGCTACAATATACAAGAAGAGACCGTTTACAGGTAAGATTTAAATGTCTCCATGAAAGAAGATATTTCAGTTAATGTATGGCGTAAAAGATTACATGATGCAAAGAAATTGGTATTACTGTAGATAGTTCTCCTTATTTGTATGCCTCATTCTCGTTGGAATATAGAATATATTTTTTTCTTCGATTGCCTCGGCTCTTAGAGTCTAATTTTTGGAATGTAAGACCTTTTTTGGCCTCCCATGCAGCGAAATAGACTGGTCTTCTTCAACACGTCCTGAAATTCAGGGTTTGACCAGGTTTGTATCACAGTGATTCGACATTAGCAAAAACGTTTGCTCTCAATATTGACATATGGTTGTAGTTTTTGGTAAAAATGGTGCATCAACTAATTACACTTTCTGAATGCTATATTCTGTAGGGCTTGGCCTAATATCGACGCCATCGACCAGAAATGGAAGAGATTGCAGAATCCCTTACTCGAGATCTTGTGCGCTGCAAATGTCATATACACTAAGGGTAGTGGAGGAAAGTGGCTTAAAGTGGAAGACGCTATCTTAGACAGACTTGATGAACATCAGCCCAAGGAGTTGCTCGTCAGCGTGTTGCTGGAAGCACATCAAAATGTCGCTACCTTGCCTGACTACGTGTTAAAGGCATTTACCGCGGTCCGCAATAAACCAGTCGTCAAAGAGATTACTCCCATGTTGGTGAGGCAATTCCTCAAGGAAAGTCCTTCTAGCTACAGGAACCTTGGGCGAATGCAAAAGTTGAACCTTCTAGCGTTCATTCTAAACTGCATAGACGAGAACTTCGAAGACCTAATTGGACTGGAGCTGCTGCCCGTATCCAGTGGTGCCTTCAAATGCTTTGCATCCCCCTCAATTTGTGACGAAGCAGTGTACGTCTGCTCACCCGATCATCCAAGAAAAATGTTTCCTTGTCTAGACCATCAGTTTCTGGATCAAAACCTGGACCAAAATCTTTTGGGAATGATGGAGAAAGTTGCAAAGAAAGGTATGAACGATGCGAAAATGTTGTGAAATTTGTCTACAGCTGTTTCAAAACTTCAGCCAAGATAATCTCAAAGTTATTCTATCGTTCTGGGACTGAACATTATATTTCAAACTGCCCCACTCAGTGCTGTAAGCAATAGTCGTGCTGTTACACTTTCATTTGAACATTATTAAAGAACATAACATATTTTTATCAAATAAAGGGGATAGAAAAAAAACTATAACAACTGACGCATGGCAGTGTTAATCTGTTACCAGAAACCCTATTCTTTTAACATGGATATCGAATTCTCAGAAAAGTGCATTGTTTTCCGGACTCTATGCTAGGTGAGATTATTCGTTGCCTAAGATCTACCAGGGAAAACATCCAATGCTGACGTCATTGCCTGTCAAAAAATAAGCTAGACAGAATCTCGTCGGGCGACCATTCGCGCGATAAACTCGCCCTTATATCTTACATCGCATTTGAAATGTGCACAACTGCGAGGATCATTCTTCATTTGATTTCATGCAAAGCATTGATAAAACGTTTTAAATGTTCTGTGCATGTTACGTGGGGGCGAAAGTAACAACTGATTACTTTTTCTACTGTTTAAATAGGATGTACCCAGCTGAAGTTTGTCCGGCAAGATGACGTGGTTTCCCTTCTCTTAAAATCGTTGCCACCAGAGTGGTCACAAGGTGAAACAGTTTTCTGGTATCATGGATCGGATTCCTGCAACCATCCAGGATTAGAGTGGCTTGAGCTGGTATGGAATTACTTAAGGACGAACTTCGCCACGAACGATGGGCTCCGCGGGTTCTTAGGTCTCCCCTTGATTCCCCATGACATGTCACAAGTACCAATCAGCCTTGTTAGACTTCAACAGCCTTCTAAGATAGTTGTGAAAGGTCTCCACGATGAGTTTCTCGATGAAACGCTGATTCAATCTTTGAAAGATCTTGGCCTTGCTGTCATTCAACAGTGTCCATCTTACCTAACCCTTCACCCTGCTGTCGTCAATGCATTTATTTACCCGCCATCACCACATGGTGTCTTGAAGGCGCTGTCAGCTTGTTCATCGGTTCTAGGATCAAACAAACATTCATTGACAGACGAAGGCAAACGCTCCTTAAGGAAGTTCTTTTCAAAGGAATCGTCGCTAGAACCCCAAGCAAAGCAGCTTCTCCGCAGCCTTCCGTTGTTTGAGACGCTAAACAAATCTTTTGTTTCTGGGGAGGAGGATCTTTGTGCAGCACCACCAGAAGGTTCTTATCCTGTAACTCCTCGTAGGGATCTCATTGACGTCGCACATGATGACTCGAAGAGCTTGGCGCATCTGCTAGACATCAGATGCTTATCACCGACAGAGTTTTTTCTCGATGTTGTATTTCCTGATGTCAGAGGAGGGAATTATTCTAACGGAGAGATCGACAGGATTATGGGATTCGTTATGGAGCGGTTTCAAGTTTACGCCAGTGAAGATGCTCGATTTGAAGAAGCGCTTGCAAATTTGCCATTTGTACCGAGTGAAAGTAGACGGGAAAGAGCTATGGACCTGTTCGATCCCGGGATTGAGTTGTTAAAACGAATGCTGGCCGAAGAAGATGTTTTTCCAGTTGGTGAACAGTATACAAATCCCACAGCCCTCGTGGTTCTAAAGAAACTTGGTATGAAGAGCGAAAAACAAATTTGCGCAGAAGATCTGTACCGTAGTGCCAAAAAGATCTCTCAAATGTCAAATTTGGAGAAAGCAAAGCAAAAATCTGAAACCATATTCTCATATTTAGACAGTTACTCAACGAAGCTTCAACAAACTGTTTCAGGGGTTACGTTGGCACAACTTTTGAAATACGTTCCATGGGTATCCGAGGTGAAAGAGAGGCCCTTCGGCGTTCCTGCTAGCCTTTACTCGGCTGACAAAACTAGCAAATCCCCCTTTTATAAACCCACGGAAGTTACATGCGAAGATAAAGTTAATCTCATCGGAACAGTGAAGCCCATTGTAAGAGTAGATTCTTCAAGGCAATTGGCAAAATGTTTCGGCTGGGACAAGATGCCAGATTCATTGGACGTGGTGCAACATTTGAAAACCGTGGTCACTCACTATACTCCGGACGAAAAGCAATATTACATTTCAATTGTCAAGGACATCTACGCATATCTAAATCAGGTCGCAGATCCCGAAGTTATCAAGGAAGCTTTGCATGGAATTGAAAACTCGAGCTGGATTTGGAATGGAGATGGTTTTTGTTCTCCTGATGTTGTTCTTGCTAAAAGGCCTCCAGTTGATCTTACTCCGTACATTTGTTCGCTTCCCTCAGAGGTGATGCAGTTTTCAAACTTTTTTTCAAAGTTTGGAATGAGAGAACACTGCGATGCTCTGTTTTTTGTACGTGTTCTTCACCTGATGAAACAGAAGTATGAATCTGGACACGATTATCCAAACACAGAGGTGAAAAGAGATTTGCAGTTATCTGCAGACATCTTGAACGAGATTAAGCCAAAAGATGGAGAACAACTACCTACAGAAATTCAAGAAAAAGTACTTATTCCAACGCACGTAGAAGGAGATTCCTACCTGAGGCTTGCACCAGTTAATGATTGCATGTACAGTGACCATGAGTGGCTAGAAGATGGAACACCTGCTGAAGAAGAAAGGGATTGCTTTTTTGTGCATCCAAACATCCCACATAGTACTGCGGAACTTTTACAGGTTCGCACGCGTAGAAATCAATTGCTAGAAGCTGATGAGATAGGAGATGAATTTGGTCAGGAGGAAAAACTCACTCGCAGATTAAACAGACTTTTGGAGGAATACACAGATGGCTTCTCTGTGCCAAAGGAACTAATTCAGAACGCAGACGATGCTGGTGCCACTGAGGTCAGATTTCTTTACGATGAAAGAACTAACGAAGATGCTATGACCTGTCTGATTGACGAAGGAATGAAGGAATGTCAAGGTCCTGCTTTGTGGGTTTACAACGACGCTGAGTTTAGGAATGAGGATTTTGAAAACATTGTTAAACTTAATGGTGGCACCAAAGAACAAGAAAATGAAAAAATTGGAAAGTTTGGTCTTGGCTTTAACACAGTCTACAACCTGACAGACGTTCCTATGTTTCTTAGCAGAAACTATTTTGTAATTTTTGATCCCAACACCTTTTATCTTGGAAAAGCCGTCAGAAAAAAAAGCAAGCCAGGAATAAAAATAGACGTCAACAAGAACCCGGAGAAAAAGCGAAAGTTTAGGAACCAATTTAAACCTTTCAATGGCATCTTTGGTTGCGATCTTCATCTGAACAAACCTGACAACTCATTCCCAGGAACCCTTTTTCGATTCCCTTTGAGAACCAAGGAACAAGCCATAAGAAGTGAGATTAAAGCCGTTCATTACGACAACGACCAAATGAGAGAGCTATTAGATATTTTCGTGCGTGGAGCCAAACATTTGCTCTTATTTACGCAAAATGTCTGTCAGCTAAGTATATTCCATCTGCCTAGAGAATCAACGGAAGAGACACAACCTAAGCTGATGTTTCAGGTTACCAAGTCATTATCAAAAATAGGAATCATTAGAGAGTTGACCGTACCCCTCGTCCTCTCACGACATTTAAGGAATGTTAGTACGGATGTTCTGCACCTCATAAAACAGTGCAACGTTCTACGAGCATCATCAGAAGTTGCAAAGCATGCTGGGGGTGTCAAGGAAAACAATGACAGTTTACTGAAGTCAGCCTATACAGTCGACATAACAAGCAACGTTGCCGAATGTGGACGCTCCTTTTTCGAGGACAAAAGCGAAATAAAAAGTGTATCTGAAGTTTGGTGTGTTGCATCGTCAATGGGCCGAGGCCAAGCATTTAAATTTTCAGTGAATGATAAAAGCCTCCTTCCCGCAGCTGCAGTGGCTGTGCAGTTGATACCTCAAGAGAGAGAGACGTTTGTACCAGCACCTGCTGGCGGTATAGCTGCTGGAGGTAAACCGCATCACAATGGAACAGTGTTTTGCTACCTTCCACTTCCAATTCACAGTGGTCTACCTGTGCATATAAATGGAGCATTCGCAGTAGATTCGAGCAGACGCCATTTGAAGGAGAAGACCGAGGATGACAAAACCTGCGTTGGGGTTGAGTGGAACAACGTTCTTTTGAAGGATTGCGTTTGTGCGGCCTATCTAGACCTTCTGGAAGACATGAAGGCAGCTGCCACTATGTACTCTTTTCACTCTTTGTGGCCTAGGGAGCGTGACGTAGCACTATGTTGTGAGCCCCTTGCCCGTTCATTCTATGAAAAAGTTGCCAGTGGAGGTTTTTGCCTTTTTTCAGACGGAAAAAGATGGGTGGAAATCAACCAAGTGGTCTTTCTGGAGCCAAACTTTCGTCATGATCAACGTGTTGGAGACATATCGTTTGCAGTACTACAGATGCTGGTCAACGAAAATAAAGTAGTCATTGACCTTCCAGTGGATGTGTTCAAATCATTCGTGAAGTACGGTCTCGAGGAAAAGATCCAGGCTAAAACCTTCGACAAGAGTAGGTTTTTCACTGAACTGTTTTTCCCAAACATTCATTCTGTACCGACCGAAATGCGTGACGAATTGATCTTGTTTGCATTGGATGATTCACAGGGAGAATTTGATGAATCAATTAAAGCCTATGCCTGTATTCCAGTTTCACCCACTGGTACAACTCTTAAACGCCCTTCCGAGCTTGTTAACCCAAAGAAGGCAGCAGCTTCGCTTTTTCTTGATAGAGATGAAAGGTTTCCGTCAGGGACTACCAAAACCTTTCTCGATTCTGTACGACTTGCTAAACTTGAACAGCTTGGAATGGTGGGAGATGACCCCCCTTGGAATTTACTTGAAGAAAGAGCAGCCAGTGTCAGTATCTTAAACGAGGAAAGTAGTAAAGCAGCTCTAGAGCGCGCTAAAGCTTTGAAAAATCTCTTAGAAAGAAAGCTTTACCTTGGCACTAAAGACAAAGTCCCAGAAGAAATCCATAAAAATCTTTTGCAAATCAAATTTCTTCCAGCTGCCACAAAACCAGAAGGCTTTCCTCTTTTCTGGAAAGGAGTCAATTTGCGCCCTGAGAAAGGAGCACAATTGGTGTCAGCTAAGGAAGGTTATCTCCAAAGCATGAAGTATCTTGTCTGCTGTTCTGAACCAATTATAGACCTCTATGTTCCTTCAAACGTTGAAAAGTTCTTACAGTTGGACAAAAATGTCACTCTTCAGCACATAGTTACCCAACTCGACTTCGCCTCCAGAACAGAGTTCAGCTTGAATTCAGTCCAATTTGAAACAGTAAAATTAGTCTGTTTAGAAGCTTACAAGAACCTGCAGGCAGCGTTAAATGAGGAACAAATCGACGACAATCAAGTGAAAAGTATTTTTCAAGATAAAAAATTCATTCTTGCCGGAAGAGAATTTGTTGATACAAAACATGTTGCTTTCGAATTACCTGTCGACTGCTGTCCGTACCTCTATAAGCTGCGTGACGACCTCGCAAAACCATTTGGTAGCCTGATGAAGAGCGCTGGGGTGAAAGAGGTCTATGAGGCCAGCGACTTCGTCACTTCTTTGGAAGAAATGAAAAGAAAGTTTGAAGACACAGCACTAAAGGGGAAAAATCTTCAAGTTGCCGTACATCTGGCTTGTCAACTGGGTGAGTGCCTTACAGATTGTGATGCAGCTGATGGCAAGCGACAAACAATTTATATTCCTGACTCTCAAGGTATAATGCAACCTGCGAGTAAACTTTGCATTCAAGACTGTCTCTGGATTTCTGATGAAAATGATGTTTACTATGCGAACAACATGATTCCCCATCCCATATGTCTTACATTGGGGGTAAAAACACGCCGAGCAGAAGCACTTAGCCGCTTTGCATTTGGGATTCCGTTTGGACAAAAGGAAAAGCTGACAAATCGATTACAGCGCCTACTTCAAGCCTACCCATGTGAAAAAGAAATTTTGAAAGAACTTCTACAGAATGCTGATGATGCAGAGGCAACAGAGATCTGTTTTATTAAAGATCCAAGACAACATCCAGATGAACGTATTTTTGAAGAGTCATGGAAACCACTTCAGGGTCCTGCATTATGCGTGTACAATAACAAGCCATTCACTGAAGCGGATATCAAAGGAATACAGAATCTTGGGGAAGGAAGCAAAGGAGATGACCCCAATAAAACGGGGCAGTACGGCGTGGGCTTCAACGCTGTTTACCACTTGACTGACGTCCCTACATTTGCCTCAAGTGGTGACGAGATTGGAGATGTTTTGTGTGCTTTTGATCCAAATTGCACTTACGTACCAGGAGCAAATCCATGGGAACCAGGAAGAATGTTCAAGAAAACAACAAAGCTAAGGGGCAACTTCCCAGATGTTTTTTCCTGCTATAATGACGATCATTTCCCCTTACGAGACTCTACTATGTTTCGGTTTCCACTAAGAACTGAGGAGATGGCAAGCCGTTCTAAAATATCTGACCGTCCTGTAACACTTGAAAAATTGACAGAAATGATGGAATCATTAAAAGGAGAGCTTTTTGAAGTTCTCTTGTTTGTTAACAATGTTAGAAAGATCACTTTGTGTGACATCGACGAAAGTGGACAAGTGGTGAATTCGTACTTTGTCAAAGCTGAAATATCAGAGGAGGATTCACTGGTAAGACAGTCTTTTTCTACTTACGTGAAAGATATTGGAAGGTCATTGAAGCAAAGTGGAAACGAGTCGCCTATAGAAGCCGCAGTAAAAACTTGCTCCTATTTTCTTAACCTAGAGGATAGTAGCGGCAACAAGGAAAGGTGGCTAATTGTTCAGCAGATCGGTTTTGAAAGCGAAGTAAATGAGAGCATCATCGATGCTTACCAAAAGCATGATCTTGGTATGCTTCCTCGAGGTGGTGTAGCTTGTTTGTTGCAACGCACATCCGTTGAAAATGACCCAGTGGAAAGAAAGAAGAAGGTGTACTGCTTCCTTCCGCTCCCTATCGAAACGGATCTTCCAGTGCATATTAATGGTCACTTTGCATTAGACCACGAGGCAAGAACAAACTTCTGGAGAAATGAAAGTGGCGGCTACAAACGTGACTGGAACAATGTCTTGATGAGTGATGTCATAGCTTCATGTTATCTCACACTTCTCGACAAAGTGAGGAGCTTTTATCACCTGCCAGTTACGCATACCTTCGAAGAAGTTACCCTCAGCTGTAGTAAAGACTGCTTGGCAGCTAATGTAGAAATCTTTGAGAGGCTGTTTCCCTCTATGGCTCAAGGCAATCCGTATCTGACCACTTTGGTTAGATCTGTCTACCAGGAAATGGACCGCAAGTGTTTACGATTTCTTCCAGTGTTGCGTGATAACACTTCAGAGGACTCTACTCCCACTTGCCAGCTCGCCTGGCTGCCTCTAACTGGGAATGGGAAGGACAAAGCGTTCTTTAACTGTCTGGGGGAAAACGATTGTTTCAGTGCTTTTCAAACACGAAGATTCAGTGACAGTGAGAACGAAATAGAGCGTTTAAACGCGAAAAGGGCTTTATTTGAGCAAATTCTGCTTCAAACTGGGTTTAATCTGGTAGCTTTTTCTTTGTCAGTATTCAAGGAGGCACAAGAATCAGGTGTACACCCTCACTGTGTTTCCCCTTCTGCTGTAATGGAGTTTTACAAGTCTTACAGTGGTGAGATACCTCTGTGCAAAGTTGGATCACTACATGTTGATGTCAGGGATACCCCATTCAAGAATGTTGAGACTGTGGCAACAATACTTACCTATTGTAAAGAGAGCGAAAAGTTTCTGGAACAGCTACCTGGTCTACCATTACTTGTCACACAAGATAATCATCTGCACACCTTTAGCACTATTGATCCCAAGTTTCTTTCCCGTCATCACGAGATCCTTCCACAGTGTAAAGAAATTTTTGTCCATGACCATGTTAGGGCAAATATCTTTTGGAAAGCGGAGAGTCTAAAAGCATCAGTTTTTAAACGTTTTGATGTTAACAGCTTCGCAGCCAACTTACATCGAACGTTACCGCAAGAGTATATTAACAGTGGGAAATACGTGGAATGGAATCCAAAGCAAACTATAGAGCCAAATGTTGACTGGCTTTACAGAGTGTGGAAATTCCTAGCCGAAGAGATAGACGATGCCCTCAGTGAGTGGAAAAGAAAGCAAATAGAGATGTCAGAAAACAACCAGGCAGTTAACAAGAGCGTGGGGTTACAGCCACTCAGTAAAGAGAAAGAAACCCACATGATTAGAACAGTTCTCAAACCTTTGGCTGAGTGGTGTATTCTCCCATGCACAGAAACGGTATCTAGACCAAGAGAAATAAGTCCGTCTGGAGTGCAAGTGAAACAATACTTGCTACCCTTGAGTCTGTCTGAATCTGTACTTCATTTACCGTCCCTTGATACCACTAATAGGGAAATTGTGGAAATATTACGTTTGCTCAGTTTGCCTGAATTAAATGGTCCTGTATTGCTATCAACAACAGCTTCATACACACTAACAAATTCCTATCGATATGCTTGTCGGTTAGTGGCTTCGATTAATTCACCAAAACTAATCCTTAAAGCACTAAACGCGAAGATGACTAGAAACCCGTACTCTCTTCGTGGAAAGTTGAAAGCATCTGAGTGCCGCACCATTTTGCAGTATTTCAGCAAAAATGTGAAAGACCTGTCAGAAGACGATAAGAGACCGTTGAGAAGACTTCCCTTTTACCAAGCCATACATGGTGGATTCTTGAGTATAGATGGCCACAGCGTCTGTGTAGTTCCTATAGACATTCCTGGGAAAGGAATGGAAGTTTTAGAAAGTATGAGTGATGTCGTATTTCTGACGTGCTGGTCTGGCCTTTCTGAGTTGCAAACATTTCTGGAGTTTGAATCCGCCTCATCGGTTGATATGTATTGCAAATTCATTTTGAAGTTCTTTCATTTCTTCTGCAGTGAAGCAAGGCTAGTTCATCTTAAGCACATCCGTGACAGCATTTTGACCCAAATATTTGCTAAGGAAGATGACCAGCAGCGATTGTTGTCTTGTCTAGAGACTACAAGTATCATTCCTTGTAGCGACGGCACCTTAGTGAGGGCATCCTCTTATTATGATCCAATGCACAGGGTGTTTAAAGCTTTGCTTTCAGATGACATGTTTCCGCCAGAACCCTTTAACAGTACTGAATGGCTGCCATTTTTGAGAAGTATCGGACTGATTCACGAAATTTCTCAAGATATCTTCAAGATGTTTGCTCTGAAAATCGCAAACGAAGCCGTTACGCAGCCCACGGAGACTACTGAGAACAAGTCAAAGGTCCTCGTTGCACACCTGTTCGGGAGGAACAATGTTGTAGAAGAAGGCCTTCTCCAAGCTATTTCTGATATTAAATTTGTCCCTTCAGACCCTGTCAAGCCAAATCTTCGAGCAATACATCGGCCGTACGGTGAACGAAATGACGGTAAGGCAACTTACATTTCTTTCCGCGGTTCTGTACTAGCAAAGCATGCCAAAATAGCTTGGACAACGGCTGCTCTTCTTCCTCAATGGGCAAATCCGAAGGAATATCAGTATCTGATGCATGCACCTGATTGGAAGAATACGAATCACTACTGCAACGCAGCGATGGCAAAGCTAGGAATTTTGCCGGAGCCAACCGTGGAGCTTGTTACATCCCACTGCAAAATTGTGTCGATCCGCTTGGAAAAAGAAAGTGACAGAGACCTGCCTGCGGATCAGATGACTACAAGAATGTCAGTCATGACGAATATCTATAGATTCTTGGAAGCTAAGGCTACCTCGGGTCCTTTCGCAAAAAATCAACTGACGCACATACCTTGTATTTTAGTGGAAGAAGGCAGGCGTCTCGTAAGAGTTGACCAAATAGTTATTGAACTAAACAAGGAATATGAGATTCAGCCATACCTCTATAGAGTACCAGCGGAGCTTTTTCAGTTCAAGGATTTGTTTCAGTATTTGGGCTGTGCCTCTGTAGCAAATGTATCTCACTTCGCTATGGTCTTAGATAAGCTTAAACAGAAATGTAAGGAGAAACAACTAGATCCCAATGAGAAAATTTGCGCTTTAACAGCTGAAAGAGGTATTTTTGAAGTACTACAAGATCATTCGGAAGAAGGCCAAAAGCTGTCCTCACTTTACCTGCCAGCCACACGTCCATTTATTGACAAAGATGATGGTCCTTCGCCGCCTGTCGTGTTGCAAGAATCAGCGGAGCTTCTCTTTGATGATGCCCCGTTTTACCGTGAACGCATTAAAGGGTTTGATCAGCTCTTCCTGGTGGACCTTTCAAAGGCCAAGGTGCGTTGTAAACAGGGTTCCAATTACGAGGATCTAGTCATGCTCCTTCCTCAGGCTTTACGGCCTCAAATGCTGTCCACTGTCGTCATAGAGAAGTTTACTGATTCCTCTGAAAATGGCGATAGATTCGATCTTGGCGCAGCCGTTTTGCTAAAAAGGTCACTTCATTCACCGCAATTCTGTCGTGGTATTATCAGACTTATTCGTCACGCAAGCCGCGAATATGAGGAAAAGGTAGATGAGAGTGTCGTTGCCACTATCAAAAACAGATTGCAAAGTATCGAGGTTCATGGAATGAGTAAAATTGTTACTCAGCTACTCTACAAAGGAATTACAATTCCAGGAAGCGAGATCGAAAAGCCATACTTTTTGGAAAAGGTTAGCATGTCCAGTGAAGAGATTTGGAATGTATATGTCAATGCTGTAGACGATGCACAGAAAACGTCATCGGCAATAGCTCTGAATTTAGCCAATGTGATATCTAAAGCGTGTAAGCGACTCCTGAGGGACGCGGCTATGTTCATTCCTTTGATGTTGCAAAGCCAACCAGAAGAGATTTCCTCTTTTCTGGACATGATGAAGATACACCAAGATGATTCTTATGATGGGGAGGAAGGACAAATCTTACCACCACCAGGTAGTTTTATTCCAATTGCCGAACAACACCTTCTCAATGCAGCCTTTTCATATTTCAAACCTGGTGAATACGTTGGATACGAAGTAGACGATCCAAGTCTAAAACTTGAAGATGGAGATGCAACTTACATTTATGCTGTGATAATCGAGGAAGTTTCAAATCCGGACACCAGTCTCATTACGAAGTCTTACAAGATCAACATTGGAAACGAAAAATCACCTAAAGTTGTCCTAGCAACTGAGTTGTACAAATTCTACCGTTTTCAAGAGATAGTATCGGCTGCACTCATTTCATCAGGTCATCAAGGGACAAATACGGATAGCAAACATGAAATATTTGAAGAGATCACAAAAACACTAGAAGAGGCTTGGGGGCTTTCAGAAGACAGAAGAAGACAAGTTGTCAAGCGACTATTTCTATTATGGCACCCGGACAAAAACCCAGGAAATGAGGAATTCTGTACTGAGGTTTTTCAGCACATAAAGAACGAAATTGAACGTTTGGAGAGGGAAGGTTGGGGTAGAAGTGAACGCGAAAGAAGCGAGAGTTACCATCACGGTGGTTCGTATGGTGCTTTCTTTGGGTTTTGGGGGACACGTGCAAGAGAGTACAGTTCTCGGCGCCGAGAGTACCAAGAAACATACCATCGACATTACGGAACATGGGGACACGGAACGCGAACCTGGGAAGTTCCTCCTAGCTTCAGTGAAACGAATCCTCAACCAGGACAGGCGAGGCGCTGGTTTAGACAGGCTGAAGCTGACCTCAACGCCGTTGTGAACGACGTTCATACTGGTAATGGGTCTTACGAATGGGCCTGCTTTAAATGCCATCAGGTATGAATTGAAGTATTAATATTGAGCGTACACGTGATTTTATTAGCAATAAAAGTCTATTTCTTTCCTGTTTCCCTTTTCAATGTTAGCGTGGAAGGCTGATTGTTATGTGATTATAGGCCGCAGAAAAAGCGCTGAAGGCTGCTCAGTACGCAACAGACGCCTTTAAGACCAACGTTCATAACCTCGTCCAGAACTCCGTGATGCTAGACGACTCTCGACTGGTAACTGTTTCAAGTCAGCTCGAGGAATGTGTGGGTGATTCAGCGCGCATGCGCTACCCTGATCGACTGGACTATCCAAAAATTCCAAAAGATGTTTACACAGAAGAAGATGCCCATCAGGCACTGGAGGCAGCGACGGAGATTCTACAAATTGTTAGGAGCAGAGTCTCGTAAGGTAATCTTCAGTTAATCAAGTTAATTTTTAAAGTAATCATTGTGCTGCTGAAAAAAAAAAACAGATATCACATTCTGTGAAAACGTTTCATTTGAACTAATTTAGTAGGATACGCTTATTCTTTTAAGAAGGGTTTTAGAGCCTTTTGGCTGTTAGTCCTCAACGGAGTAGCACTTCTAAGACCTGGATATCTCTGTTGGATGACTCTGACAATCAACCAGCTATATCATTGACACTGATTTGTGCATGAGAAAATTATCTTTGTTTGTTTTACATAAGGATTCGTCCAACATTGTCTTCACATTGGAGAAGATGAGCAGGAGCAAACATTTCAAGATGTGTTACAGACGTCTCAGAGCAAAAACAAGATGTCAGTCTACATGCTTTTTACCTAAACATTTTAGTAACAGCTAAGGTTAATTAGACATTTAAAAAAAGCAAAATGTTACGCTTTGGTCTTTAGAGCCATATCTTGCGTATAATGATTAGTTGATATCGATAGGATACTGAAAATAACGATTAACCTTTCATTGCGTAAAACCCAAATGAAGCTTTTTTCACTCTTCTTTTATCCCGGGAAGGTAATATTTATAATATTTACGTTTGTTGTAGAGGATATGGAGTTGTTGAACTACTCTTATTGTACCTAAATTAATCACAGTACTCGTCAGTTATTTTCGTTAAGTTTTTGTGACTTCTAATTAATGGTCGTTAAACGTGTTGTCCAGTAAATTAGCAAGTAAAATACATTAGAACGTTTGTTGCAGTGTCTTGAATTTCAAAGAAAAATAGTTAGAGCGAACTTCCATTATGTGTTTCAAAGAGCTTTTTTCGATATCTCCGTTTTTTGTTTGAGATTACTTTCTGTCTAGTAATTGCTTGAATGAAAGCGGTTGATACAAAGTTGAGTTAAAGTATAATTAGAGGAGTTCAATAGACTTTTCGTGACTTCATCAGTACCTTCAAAAGTTAGCTCCGTTTCACAGTTACATGAATTTTTATCTGAGAAACTAGACGAATTAGTTTTCTGTAATTTCCATCATGAATCTGGACACTTTCGTTTAGGTATTGCGGTGTCTAACATCGAATTTACCGAATGATATACTCTTACCAAAGGAATAAAATAGGTTTATGCTGCAGCTAAGTAAAATATCAGGTAGTGTATGTTTAGGAGTTACGTGTTAATAACATTTCTGCAGTTGCTATTTTCCAGATCAAATATTGTTTAGGATACTTTTTCACTTTGGGTTTTTCCCAGGAACAAAAATATCCTTTTAAACAACTTAAGGTTATGTCAGTATCCAGAAGTAAATGTTATTGAGTTAAGATTTAATAAATTTGCACAGTTGCTTTTATTCCAAGTCTCCTTTAACTTAGGGCTTTCGATCCCAAGGGAGAAAAAACTGTACGAAGTAACCAACGAGGTCCGCAATGAGCGGGTGTCTGTAAAGCGGGGTTTTAACCGTATTTTCTCTTTAAGTTGCAACCAAATGCAAGGCAAATAGCTAACGCGCACAGTACATATTGTTGACAATCCAAGTATCAGACGAAACACTAGACCTATCTCTACTGAGATTTAAAAGTTTAAACTAGGTCTATTTGGCATTTCTCGGTAATAGACCATTTTACAGTTGTGGGTGGAAGCGAGGCTGAGGGTGACCTTGTTTTGATACAAACCTTCTTGCTTTATTATGTAAATCAAGTTATTCTTATGCTAACTAGTATTTTTCAAGAACAATTTCCATAACAAAGCAAAGAAGGTTTGTATCNGAGGGTGACCTTGTTTTGATACAAACCTTCTTGCTTTATTATGTAAATCAAGTTATTCTTATGCTAACTAGTATTTTTCAAGAACAATTTCCATAACAAAGCAAAGAAGGTTTGTATCAAAACAAGGTCACCCTTAGCCTCGCTTCCATCCATAACTGTAAAATGGCCTATTGCAGTAGGCTGCTACAAACAGGCTTAATACGCAGGATGAAGATTGAATGATTAAAATAGTTACCTATTTCTAAAAACAAGCATTTTGCCAAATTTCGAAAATAGCTGGAAAGCTTCAAAAACTGTTTTCCAATTTTGTGCAAGAAGGGCTATAATCAAACTGCTATAAAACACTAATGATTCGAACTAGAGCTCACTTGATACTGTTCAAGATTGGTCTGATACACATATACCTACGATAGGCAGTCTTCTCCTCCCACTTGCCATTTCTCCTTTTCCGATTTGGACTAATAGGAGTATAATAAGCCTAAAGCTATCCTCGAAGGACGCACAATCATGCAGTAAGTAGGGAGCTTTAGCAACCACGACAACGACGGCACGGGAGCGTAAAATTGTCTCTTTTTGAAATATTTGTTTGACCTGCACTGGACGACCAGTAAGTGAAATGTAACTTCCTAATTCTATGATAAACATACAACTACGAATTTTCAGTTCTCCTTTTGAACTTGGATAGAGTCCAAAATCATTCAGCTCCAAGAAAATTTGCCTAGGTTTAACTTAATGAGGAAGGCGAAATGTAAACGTGATAGAATTTGAAAAAAAAATCATGTTTAATGATTAAGCTCCCTTCCGACTGGCCTTAGAGCCTTACATGTAGTTACACGCAAGGGATTACCTCGGAACTAACAGAAAACGTGTGCGTGGCGCCCACTTTAGTACTCCGGTCAGCAGTCGACGCCTTGCCCAAATTCTGGCGTGGTTACTTGAAATTAAGCGTGTGTCCACACCTGTTCCTGGGGAGTACCTTTTAAGGACACCAACTGTGAACGCCGTCTTGTAAGGATGCAAGCAAAATCTCAAGCGATCTAAGCAGCCACAGTAGCATACTAACTATTCTAGACCATACCATGTCCAGACGAATCCATTGAGTTAAACACATACAAACTTACACGTTTAAGGCTGTCCACACGAGAATAATATTCAGCTCTGCGTACTAGCCTGTGTACGAACCTGGACTAATGATGATCGTTTCCATCAGTGACGTGTGAACAAAACGCGTACTCTTGAATGCGTTTAAAAAGTTTCAAATAACTGACTCGTGTGGATGGACTTATGGAGCAGGGGTGGTGTAGATGTACGTGAGAACACTTGCCTTCTAACAAATGGCTCAAGTTCAGCCCCGACGGCGACGCCACTTGTGTGTTGGGTCTGTTGCTGTCTCTCCCCTTACGTATACTATGATAACTCAAAATTTCAACAGTCCCTTTGCAGCGAGTCATTCAGGTGGTACAGAACCGCCATACTGGAGAGCAAGAGCCGCACTAGGACAAGATAAAGAGAGAGCTCAATTCATTTAGAAAACCGTCATTTCCTTTGTTTGTCTTGACCCAGAGCATCTCTTGCTCTCCAGCATGGCAGTTTTGTACCACGTAATTGATTACCTGCAGAGGACCTTATAGGTAGATTTAGCCAGGGCTAAAAGGAGCAAGGGATGGCGCAGTAGTGAGAGCGCTCGCCTCCCACCAATGTGGCCCGGGTTCAAATCCCGACGTCGACGCCATATGTGGGTTGAGTTTGTTGTTGGTTCTCTCCTTTACTCTGAGAGGTTTTTCTCCGGGTACTCCGGTTTTCCCCTCTCCTCAAAAACCAGCATTTCCAAATTCAAATTCGACTAGGAATCAGGTAGACGAAGAAGCACTTTGTGGAAGTGCTACCTCCTTCAAATCATTATTTCTTTTATTTATTTATTTATTTAATAAATTTATAAACTTGTAATCCACAAATCAGACCTATCAGGAGCTGTTTGTATATCGTCTAGACTTCGGGCAGAATTTACGTTATTTTTTGCCCTATTTATACTTATAATTCTGCAGTTTTTCACAGAATAATCTTACAAAACAGATTCCACTCATTCACTATTCAGGACGATCGACCAAGCACGCGCTTTCCTTGCACTACAAATTATAAAATTTACAACAACAGAAAACGTTTTTATAAGCTTTAGCATAAGAAAGTATATATTTCAAAATCGCACGAGTGTAGGTTTTTGTTGAGGGTCGAGGCTAAAGTGTCGAGGGTGGAGGATAGAATGTCGAGGGTAAAATGTCGAGGGTCAAGGGTAAAATGTCTAGGGTAAAACCGTAGATTCATTTACAGTCTTTTTATAAGAGATGCTTCATTTTTTAGCTTTGGTCGCAAGATTTCCCGCCGTTCTGGAATTTACGGAAATGCCCGCATGTTAATTCACGCATTTCCTCTTTTCGTTGCCTCCTATTTCGAAATATCGCGTCGAGGGTCGAGAAAATGACGTAGATTTACTTATAGTCTTTTTTTCAAGAGCTGCCTCTTTCTTGAATATGAGCGCAAGATTTCCCGCCTTTTTGGAATTTACAGTAATGTCCGTATTAAAATACACGCGTTTCCTCTTTCCGGCACAACGTACTTAAACTGTATTTTAAACATAAAAGACTATAAGTTAGAGACTTAGTAGTAACCGATGGTTAGGAAGTGGGTTTATCGTAGAGATTAGATTCATGGCAATGAAGAAGCCGGTGATGAGAACCGCTTTCATCGTGTACGTGAATCAGAAAAAGCCCCTTTAAATGACCGGTAGTGACAACAAAAAAAAATTGCGTCGGATCATTGTCTTGAACAACACAGTAAAC